CGACCCACCGGCGGCGGCGGCGGCGGCGGCTGCAGCGGCGGTCAGGCAAGCCCGGGGCCCCGCCCACTCGGGGGCGGGGCGGCGCGGCCGGTCGCCGGTCTAGGAACGCGGGGTCGCTCGCTTTAACCCCTTCGGCGGCGCGCGGGGCCCCACGCAGGCAGGCCCGCTCGGCGCGTGGAGAGTCCGGAGAGCAGCGTGCAATCTGAGCCGGGGACGCCCTTGTCGCGTAACGCTGCACTTCTCTTCCCCGTCTTTTCCTCCAGCATCAGGGCGCATTCTGTTTAGGCAGTCATTCAAACCCTTACCTTGCTGCTAGATATCCTAAGATCAGCACGCTGTTTAGTTTTTAGCATCTCATTATTCTCTTATTATCATTTCCAGAGAGCTTCGGCTGGGGAGCGGTACAGAAATGAAATAATACCAATTTTTAACACCGTCCGGAGGCCGCAGTTCACAACACAAGCAAGTGAGCAGAGCACGGTCCGTGCAAATGGCGTGCGATCCAATATTAAGCAAGCTTACGATCAAAGCTGTCCCAGCATTGCCGAGCCGCATCCTCGACAGGGCAAGCCGACCAGCCCTAAAGAATAAAATGGATTTAAATCCTCGTGGCATGAAATGCCTGCGCTACCTTTCATTATGAGGTCCAGTTGCATTTCCTCTCTGTGTTTATCGCACTTGTATGTTTTGTGAACCATGTTTTGTGAACTCATGGTTTGTTAACCATGGGCTGTTTGCATTAACCATGGATGTTTTGGCTGGTTATTCCCGGGTTGAGGCCTGTTCAGCGTGGCTTGATTGTTAACCACGAGAATTGTGTGTGTGTTACTCATTGGTCGTCTTGTTGCTGAACCTTCCATGAATGCACATCACTGGGTTGTACTTCCTGCCTTCTGAATCCGTAATCTTGGGTTGCTGGGGGAGAAACAACCCAGAGTTAGGACCCAAGACCTCCCTTTGTTTGATCCTTGCGTTGTTTAGGACCCTGGAAGTGGGTGGTCCCTGGAAGAGCCATGCATTGGGTGCTGGTTTGTTAGAGCCGGCTTCTCCCATACAACAGGGGGGCAGATCAGCACTGAATGGGGCAATTGTAAGGAGTGCTTTGTGTGGTCCTGAAGCTGGATAAGGAATGCCCCATGGGGCTTCTATCTGCCCCCATGCCTGAGGGAGGAACCAAAGGCAAGGGATGCAACATGCAGGACTGGTCATTCCCCCAGCCCCTTGGGAATTCAGATTTGAGCATTTATACTCTTGTCTGACTTTTCATGTTTAAGGATTATTTCAAGCTTCCAGTTTACATGCATCCTCTCAGAGTGAACATGCAAGCTCCCCCTGAATTTCTTTCCTTATTCCATGTATTTTTAGAAAAGTTCACTGTGACATAAGCCAGGGGTCCCCTAATGCGGCAGCTAATGGGTGGTGTAGTGGTTAAAGGTGGGTTCTGAGTTCCAGTCTCCACTCAGCCTTGGGTGACTTTGGGCCAGTCACAGACTCTTCAGGCCAACCTACCTCACAGGGTTGTTTTTGCAAGGATAAGATTAAGAGGAGGAAGTTGCTTAATATTATTATTGTCGCCGTTAATTCCATTTCAGTACTGCCCCACTGCCAAAGCTCTCAGGGTAGTTTAAACTCCGTGAAACCATGGGGGAGGTTACCTGGAGGCATAGACTGAGGTTTTATTAACCTGCAGCTGACAGCTGGCTCCATCGTTCCTTCTTGTCACCTTAAGGTGAGGCAGCAGCAGCTCAGGCTCCTGCCACGATGACGGACAGGATGAGGGCCAATTAACTGAGACTCAGTCCTGGCAAGGCAGAGCAGCTTTTTAAGGATGGTTTGCCTGTCCGGATGAGTGGTATTCAACCGGCTCTGGAAGGAGCTGCTTATCCACTAAAGGAGCAGGTTTAGTGTGGGGGCATTCCTGGATCTGGTCCTGTACTTAAAAACACAGGTGGACCTGGTGGCACGGAGCATCTTTTATCAGCTTAGACAGATATTCCAGCTACATGAACGAGCGCTTATGTCCGTATATGCCCGACCGCCCTTTGAGATCTGCGGGAGAGTCCCTTCTCCGGGAACCCTCCATGAAAGAAATTAGGAGAGTAAGTACTCGGAGGAGGGCTTTCTCTGCGGTGGCGCCCAACCTATGGAATTCACTCCCCAAAGAGGTCCGCCTGGCACCGTCGTTACTGGTTTTTCGGCGCCAGGTAAAGACCTTTTTATTTAAACATCATTTGAATTGTTAAAACATATGATCTGGCCAGGGCAACTTCTTCTTCCTTCTCTTTTCTCCTCCTATATTATTTATTTACTTATTTTATACTGATAATTTTAATTTTATATTATGATGTTTGTAACTCAATGTATTTTTTGTATTTTTGTATTTAATGGTAATTTATTATGTTCTATTGTATTTCAATGTATTTTATTGTGTTGTAAGCCGCCCCGAGGCTTCGGCAAGGGGCGGCATAGAAATGTTATAATAATAATAATAATAATAATAATAATAATAATAATAATAATAATAATACATTCTTACCTGGCCCAGGATAGCTTTGCTAGTTACCTGTGCTTTGGTAACCTCTTGGTTGAATGCCTGCAATGTGTTTGATGTAGGGCTAGCCTTTGAGAACAGTCTGGAAACTTCCGCTGGTCCAAAACACGCCAGCAAGATTGCTAAGGGTTGGAGAGCCAATGTGGGGTAACAGTTAAGAGTTGGGACTCATGCAATCTGGGTTTAGTCCCTGCTCAGCCAGCTTGGTGACTTTGGGCCAGTCACAGACTCTCAGCCCAGGCTACCTCACAGGGTTGTTGTGGGGATAACATTGAGAGGAGGAGGCCGATGTAAGCTGCCTCGCGTTCCTTGGAAAGAAAAAAGGCAGAATATAATTATAATAAATCAGAAAATAGTAGGGGCTGATCAAAGGGATAATAAAAGCCCAGCATTTTATCATCCACACTGGGTCCTTGTCCAAGCCAGATCCAAAGTGCTGTTATTAAAATTCAAAGCTCTAAAAAGCTGGGAGCTTGGTTACCTGAAGGATTGTTTCCTTTCTTACTTACTTGCCTGGACCCTACGATCATCGCTGACCATCTATCTGAGCAATCCCCTGCCGAAGTCCAGTACGTGGTTATGAAAAGGGTCTTTCTTGTTGTGACACCGAGTTATAGAATTAATATTCTGTGTACAAGGAGGCTGTACGCTTTCTAGTGCGTGGCACATGGGAGGGATGCTGCTTGAGCACTGCATGGGATTTGATTTCTGCCAAGTGCTGCACAAATTTATTCTCTTATTTAATTTCTATACCACACAACAGCTGCAATGCTGAGTCCACTTGCCAGCGACTTGGATTCAGGGTTGTGACACAGCTGTCCTGATTCCAGGGAGCTGAGCCCAGGGAATCTGTCATATTCCCACCCTCCAAAAAGATTTCTCCGCATCCCTAGGTGTACACAGGTGTTTGCTGTGGAGAAAGTGGAAAGGGAGACATTTTTCTCACTTTTTAATAATCCTAGAACCCCAAGAGGTCATCCAATGAAACTGATTGGCGGGAGATTCGGGACAGATCAAAGGAAGGATTCTGTTCATACAATTAAACAACAGGAAGCAGTGATGCCCAGCAGTTTGGATGGTTCTAAAGATGGATTGCACACATTCATATAGGAAGAGCCTATTAAGGGCTACTAGTCCTCATGACCATATGCCACCTCCAGTGTCAGAGACAGTATCCTCATGTGTACCACTCACCCAGGAACATGGGTAGGAAGGTCCCCAACTTGTGGGTCTCCCGTGGGCAGCTGGTTAGCCTGGTCTGAGCAGAATGCCGGAGAAGACAAACCTTTGGTTTCATCTAGCAGAGCTTTTGTGACATTGAAGGAGAACATGACAATTAGTAGACTACACCATATTTAATTTGTATAACTTGTGCAAATCCTTCACAAACACTTCCAAAACACCAATTCCCCCTGACTCTTCAAAGGAACCTTATGGATAAATCATTGAGAATGGTTCTGTGATAAGATCTTAGGAACGTGAACATTAAACAACATATATACAAGCAGACAACGTGGCGACTTTCTCTAAAAAGCCAATTTTGCATCACATGAACAGATTTCAAGATGTGGGGCTGCAAATGCTCTTTGCCTGCACAGTGCCAAGATTTCTGTTCCCCCTGATGTTTGCTCCATGCTCTTCCTAAAAGACTCTGATGTGATGTAAGGTTAACCTTGTGTTCCGATTGGTGTCCTTCCTTCCTTCCTTCCTTCCTTCCTTCCTTCCTTCCTTCCTTCCTTCCTGGACTTTGCATGAATTGCCCATCAGCTAAATCCAACAATGTTTGGGAAGTACAGATGGAAGATTTTCCACATGCCACATTTCTCTTCTGTGCAGTCTTGGTTCACCTCAAGCCTTTTTCTTGGACAAAAATTCTTTTCTGAGTCTTAAAAGTTAACTCCCAAGATCCCAATTCCGTATGAAACCGATTCTACATTCCAAACTTTCCATGGTCTGCTGTATCATCTCTTTAATTTAAAACAAAGGAATTAAGTAAAAGGAGCCTTTACTGATTTTGCAATCATTTTTCTCCTATGTGCATTTTTGATGTGAAATTACAGAGTCTCTCTTAATCTAATTCTTTCCATACTCTGAGAATTTAATGGAGTGGTATCAGAGGCAATTGGATTTTTTGGATTCCAGGTCTGCGGTCAGAGACAGTTCCAGTTTCCAGCCCTTCCAGCTGGGAAGTTTAGCTCTGTCTTTTCCCCACCCCGACAACTAGCATAGAAAAAAATCACACCGGCTGCTCTCTGAGGTTGGGAAAGCAACCTCGGAGAGGGGTAAAACAGGACAGCTCACATGCAGAACTGGAGGAGACTGCAGCAGCCAGGAGATCAGGTATCCCAAGGGTGGTTCAGCTTCTTCCTTCCAACCTCTAAGCCACCACGTGAAACTCCAGAATGGGAGGTACAGGGAGGAAAATTTCTCCTCTGCTGCTTTCTTTCTCTGTGCATTGGATGAATGTGAGCCTCCACATTCATAGGCTTGCGTTCACCTCTGTAGGATTCTGCCCTAATGTTTTTTCCCTTGTGTGAATTCTTTGGTGTGCTCTACGGTGAGTGAAGCCCTTTCCACATGGCACACATTTAAACAGTTTCTCCCCTGTGTGAATTCTTCAGTGTGCAATAAGGTGCCAGCTCTGAATGCATCTCTTTCCATACTCCAGGCATATAAATGGTTTCTCCTACATCTGACTTTTTTGGTGTCCCGTAAGGTATGAGAACTGAGTGGAGCTCTTTCCACACCTTAAAGGGCTTTTCCCCTGTGTGACTTTTTTGGTGAGAAGTAAGATGTGTCTTCTGGTTGAATGTTTTCCCACACTCCAGGCATGTAAATGGTTTCTCCCCTGTGTGTATTCTTTGGTGAGAAGTGAGATACGTCTTCCGAGTGAAACTTTTCCCACACTCCAAGCACTTATAAGGTTTCTCCCCTGTGTGGATTCTTTTATGGTCTGTGAGGGTTGTGCTTCTATTGAAACTCTTTCCACAGTCCAGGCATTTAAATGGTTTCTCCCCCGTGTGGCTTCTCTGATGGTACACCAGGCCTGAGTATGTACTGAAGCTCTTTCCACATTCCCAGCATTTATATGGTTTCCCCCCGGTGTGGATCCTTCGATGGTACATGAGGCTTGCGAGTGTACTGAAACTTTTTTCACATTCCAAGCATTTAAATGGGTTCTCCCCCGTGTGTGATTCCTGATGAGAAGTTAGGTACGCTATCTGACTGAAACTGTTTCCACAATCTAAGCACTGAAACGGTTTCTCTGGGGTGTGATTTTTTGGGTGTGCCATGAGTTGTGAGTCCCAACTGAAGCTTGTTCCACTTTCCAAATCTTTAAATGGCTTCTCCTGTACATGAATTCTTCGGTGAGAAGTGAGATATTTCTTCCGGGTGAAACTTTTCCCACAGTCCAAGCATTGATACTCCCCTGTGTGAATCCTTCTGTGGTCCGTGAGGGTAGTCTTTCTGTTGAAACTTTTTCCACAGTCCAGGCATTTAAAAGGTTTCTCTCCTGTGTGGCTCCTTTGATGGTACAGAAGGCCTGAGTCTGTACCGAAGCTCTTTCCACATTCCCAGCATTCATATGGTTTCCCCCCAGTGTGGATTCTCCGATGGTACATAAGGTTTGCATGAGCACTGAAACTCTTCTCACATTCTGAGCATTTAAACAGATTCTTCTCAGTGTGACTTCCTTGGTGAGAAGTTAGGTATGCCAACTGGCTGAAACTCTTCCCACACTCTAAGCACTTAAATGGTTTCTCCTGGGTGCGACTTTTTCGGTGCGCCACAAGGTCAGAGTTCCATGTGATGCTGGTTCCAGATTCCAAAACTTTCAACGGCTTCTCCCGTTTGTGAATTCTTTGGTGAGAAGTGAGATATTTCTTCTGAGTTAAACTTTTCCCACACTCCAAGCACTGATACTCTCCTGTGTGGATTCTCCGATGTTCTGTGAGGGTTGTCCTTCTATTGAAACTCTTCCCACAGTCTGAGCATTTAAAAGGTTTCTCTCCTGTGTGGCTCCTTTGATGGTACAGAAGGCCTGAGTCTGTACCGAAGCTCTTTCCACATTCCCAACATTTATATGGTTTCCCCCCGGTGTGGATTCTCCGGTGGTACATAAGGTTTGCACGTGTCCTGAAACTCTTCTCACATTCCAAGCATTTAAATGAGTTCTTCTTTGTGTGAGTTCCTTGATGAGACGTTAAGTATGCTAGCTGACTGAAACCCTTTCCGCACTCTAAGCATTTAAATGGTTTCTCCTGCATCTGATTTTTTCGGTGTGTTATAAGGTGCGAATTCCTACTAAAGCTCGTTCCGGATTCCAAATGCAGAAATGGCTTCTCCCGTGTGTGCATCCTTCGATGGTACATGAGGGTTGTGTTTCTGTTGAAGCTCTTTCCACACTCTAAGCATTTATAAGGTTTCTTCCCTATGTGGATTATTTTAGGCGAGACAGCTGTCTCTCTCCTTTTAAGCCGTTTCTCACGCACCAAGGATTTAAATGCTTCCTCTCCTGTATGAATTCCTTCATGGGAAGTAAGGGATTTCCTAGAAAGGAAGTTCTTTCCACACTCCGAACATTTAAATTGTTTTTTCCCTGTGTGAATCCTTTGATGGGAAGTAAGGTATTTTTGAAAACTGAATGTCTTAGCACACTCAGAGCATTTGAACCGTTTCCCCCCTGTGCTAGTTCTCCTATTAAAATTAAGATCTGATTTATCACTGGATTCACTCCCATCCAAAAGACCCTTACACATTTCCTTTCCTTTAAGTCCTCCTTCTCCTGAGTTTTCACAGGTGTCACTACCCTGAGAAGCCGAGAATGTGTCCCTTCTGTTTTCTTTTGTTTCAGTTACTGTCCTCTCCACTTCTTCACATTTGAACAGAGTTCCTTCAAACGTGACCCTGCGTAGTGCTCCTTCAATCTTGCTGTCATAAGCATCATTTCCTAGAAAGACACGAAACAACCAGTAAGAGCACAAAGGATAAGCTGGGCATGAAAGCAAAGGATTAATCCTAATCCTTAATGGTCATCGTGTAGCAGAGACACCATTCAGTTAAGGAAAAAGGAAAGATGGGATCAGGTTTGGCTCACCTGGACAGGCAGAACCTGACAATAGCAATCCACACCCCAGTAACCTCACATCTGGACTACTGTAATGCATTCTGCATGGGGCTGCCCTTGGAAATGAATAGGGCAGTTTCCTATGAGGAAGGACTGGTAGGCAAGATCATGTAACACCAGTCTTTTATCGTCTACTCTGGTTACCAATTCAAGTCCAGGCCTGCTTTAAGGTCCTCACATTACCATGTAAAGCCCTAAAGATTTAGGGCCCGAATATCTGAAGGAACATCTCCTTCCATATATGCCTACCCAGCCCTTAAGATCATCCACTGAGGTCCTTCTTTGAGAGCCACCTTTAAAAGATGTAAGGCCACTAGGACCTTTTCAGCTGTGGTGCCCCAACTGTGGAATCAGCTCTCCACAGAGGGGCACCTGGCACCAACACTTTATGCAAAACCCTTTTTATTTTCCCAGTGTTTTAATTGCTAAATAAGAAAAAAAAGTGCCATTTTATACTGTCATTGGATCACTATGGACTGTTTATTATTTGTCTATTTATGTATTTTATTTGAACTGGTTTCGGACTGGTATGTTATGGTCTATATTATCACACATATACTATGTTGTATTGCTTCACTGTATAGGGTCTTCTTTTAATTTTTATTGTAAACCGTTTGGAAAGCCTTTTGGCTAACATAGACGGTATGAAAAGCTTTCATAAATTAATCTGCTCTGTTCAGCTCTTTCTCTCCCTCAGCTTCTTCCTTAAAAGCTGGCTGTCATAGGAGAATTATGCAAACCACCTTGAGTTCCTTAAAAGGAAAAAAAAAGGGAAGTAAATATAATAAATGTTTAAAACTTTGTAATTCTAAGAATGGGAACCTAGGATTACTTTAACTCTCTTCCCTCATTGTTCCTTTTTCATTTTGTGTCAGGTCTTACAAATTTAGGAATGGTCGTGCTTGGTATTGATCCTGTGTTGTGTCATAAGCAATCCTGCCCACTTTATAGCCCCTTCTACATTCAAGCTATTTTATGAACACACTAAAAAGGACTGTTCACAATAGATATTTACTGGCATCATGCTGGTCACATCCCTCTATTGTTTCCATTTTTTTTTTCAACCCAGTAGTAATCCATCTTCTTTCTTTTTACATCTGTTAGGGTTTGCTCAGGTCAGCTGTCAAAAGCCTTTTGAAAATCCAAGTAAACAAAGTCTACCAGATTATCATATCCACATATTTGTTGAGCTTTTCAAAGAACTCTAAAACATGACTCAGGCAAGATTTAGCCTCGCAAAAGCCATGCAGACGCTGCTTCAGCAGGACTTGTCCTTCTATCTGCTAAATGATTCTGTCTTTAGTAACACTTTCGACCAAATTATTTGCAAACTTGCAACAGACATTAAGCCAACTAGTCTATAACTTCTTGGAACCCTTGTTTGATCCTTCCTTTTATTTCTCCAGAATTTCCCAGCCAGTAGCTTCATGAGATGATGCCTTTAAGTCCTAATATTATGAAAGAGGGAGAAAAACCTCTCCTTATCCACTTTTTCCACACCAGGCATAGTTTTATAGTTTTATACCTCCCTTTCATGTCTCCCTTTGTTTGTTTTTTTTCATCCTAAGCTAAACTGCCTTGATTTTATTTTGAATAACTGATAATTTTTTATTGATTTATTTTATTAAAACATTTTTATGCTGCCCCATTCGCCGAAGCCTTGGGGCGGCTTACAACAATAAGTAAAATAATCATAATCATAAATTAAAAATATAAACATTAGAATAAAATATAAACATACCAGATAAAATAAGCCGCCCTGGCCAGATAAAATACAGTTATTAATCTAAAACAAACGAACAAACCTTAAACAAACAAACAAAACCCAAACACTCTCAGATGCTCTAACCTTGACAGGAATCAGTGGCAAGAGAAACAATAGGTCAGAATGAAATTAAATTACAATGAGAGTAGAAGAAACAGAAAACAGAACCCAGAAGGTTTGTTTTTAACCAAACACTGTAACCTCTGATCTTGAGATAAGCAATGCTGGCAAAGTTTGCAGATAAAAGAACATGAAGAACTTTGGAAAAGTACCAAATATTGAGCTAAGCGTTTGCTATGCTTTCTGTTTTGTATACACTTCTGGCAGACAGTCAAATGATGCAGATTCTTGCAGTCTAACACACACGCATGTTTCTGGGGGACGTTCTAATAAAGCCACATATACGTTTTTTTAACTTCCCAGCATGTCTGACTGTTTATTTGCTACTGACATCTGGAGATGGTCTGGTCAGTTTTGGTTGCCCTTCTTCCTTTTCCCACCATCTTCCTGCAAGAAGATGTGTACATTATGGGCTGAAATATCACAAAAATGCAGAGGGGGGGGGACACCCTGCTGTCTTTTAGCATTTATGAAGTGATGTTATCAACCGAGGGAAGGAAGAGTCTTACCCAAGGAGGCCACCATATCGAAAGCTTCTTCCATGACTTGTCCATGCAGAGCTTTTTGGTCCAGGTCCAGCAAAGCCCATTCTGCCTCCGAGAAATGCACAGTCACATCCACAAAGGTTACCTGAAAGAAGAAATATCACCTGTGAGCAGAAAATGCTAACAGTTCTTTTCCTTCTAAACACCAGCAGAAAAATAAACATACACTCAGAAAGTTCAGGTGTGGCATTCACAGGTCCCTTGGTTGCAGGAGTCCCTCAGCTTCTGCAATCTGTAAGCGCATTTGGGAATTTACAAAAGTTACCACACTGGTAACTTCCTGGTTGGATTACTGTAATGTGCTCTATGCGGGGCTGCCCTTGAAGACGGTCCGGATACTTCAACTGCTTCAGAATAGAGCTGCCAGGATGTTAACGGGGACCGGCCGGTTTTCACATATAACGCCAGTCCTCTACTGGTTAGACTGGTTACCAGTTGGAGTCCGGGCCCAAATTAAGGTGCTGGTGATGACCTATAAAGCCCTAAATGGCTTGGCGCTGGGATACCTGAAGGAGCGGCTCCCTCCCTATGTGCCCTCCAGCCCCTTGAGATCTGAAGTGGGGGTCCTGCTCCAGGAGCCCTCCTTGAAGGAGATCAAGAGGATGGCTACCCAGAGAAAGGCCTTCTCTGCAGTGGCACCCCGACTATGGAATACGTTCCCCAGAGAGGTTTGCCTGGTGCCAACATTATATTCTTTTTGGTGTCAGGCAAAAACCTTTCAATTTTCCTGTCATTTTAATGTTTAATTGATTTTAACTGGGGTTTTAGTATATTAATGGTTGGATTCTGTGGGGTTTGTTTTATTCTACTTATTTATTGTAAGCCATCCCAAGACATTCTATACAGGACGGGAGAGAAAAGCTTTAAATAAATAAAATAAAATAAAATAAAATAAAATAAAATAAAATAAAAATTTGCTATGGGCACTGACACAAAATGGCTCCCGTGAAGGAGTCATCTAGTCACATAGTGGCTATCGAGGAGGCTTGGCTAGTCAAAATATTAGGTGGGGGATGAAGCAGTGATGCTAAAGGCTGAGAGGGAGGGGGAAATGGAAAGAGCTTCTTTCTCTCCCTCCCCATGTTCTGCTCCCAGCATCTAGCTTGCCATTTCCCTCCCTGCAGGTCTGGGACTTGGGCAATCCGGGTTCAAGTCCCCACTCAGTCATGGAGCCCACTGGGTGACTTTGAGCCAGTCACAGGCTCTCAGCCCAGCCTACCTCACAGGGTTGTTGTGGTGGGGATAAGAGTGAATTATGTCAGCTGCCTGGTGTTCCTTGAAAGGAAAAAGGCAGGATATAAATGATTTTTTAAATCAAAAATCTTTCCCTCAGCCTCCTTTTCTCTCCCTGCTCCAAGCTATCACCTTGGCCCTTTCCCCCCCACTCACCGGCTTCGCTTGCAGTTTCTCTTCACTCCCCGTCTGCAGCCTCACTATTTCGTTCCCGTCTCCATCCCGAACCATCTGTTTTCACCCTCTTTCTCTTTATTGACTCTTTTTCTGGCTTCTCTCATCTTTGCCTCACCCCACCTCCAACCTTTGCCTTTTTCTCTCTTCTGCACCTTTATTTTACTTTCTCTGCCTGCACGCCGAACAGCTAATCGGAGACTAATTTGGGAACAGGAGGGGCGAACAGGCACCCTACTGTTTTTCCATTTTTATTTCCTTTTTTCCCTTCCAGAGCAGCAGGAGCTTCGTGCGTACCAAGGTGAGGGGCTTTGTGGGAGGCGTCTCCAGAAACCACGGGGAAGACGCGTGCCTTTGCAAGCCACAAAAACATAAACGTGAGCCGAGTAGGCCAAAGGAGGTAAGAGGGAAAAGCTCTCAGCCTGGCCTCTTCTCAGTCCCAAAGTTATCAATCCCCCTACCTGATTTGCTTGGACAGAATCTGTTAACAGCCCGTCATGCAAGCTGGTCGATTTTGCCTGCCTCCTCTGTCCACCACCTGTGAGGGATATAAAAATGGAAAGGAAAATTTATTTATGCTTTTCTTTCCAACCCAAGCCTCCCCGCTCCTGGGCGAATATACGCAAACCGCTCCAGCCACCGACGACAGGAACTTATTTAGAGGGTAACCGCGAGCTTCTCTGAGTCCAAACGTTTCTTAAGAAAAGAAATCCCCTAACAGCCCCAGAGTAACCCCAGATCGGCCCAGTACGCAGCTGCTGTTTATTTATTTTATTTATTTATTAAAACATTTTTATGCCACCCCATTCGCCGAAGCCTCGGGGCGACTTACAACAATACGTCAGTTCATCATAAGTAAAAATTAAAATATATACATTAAAATAAAATACAACTATACAATATAAAATATAAAATAAGCCGCCCTGGCTGTTAAGAAGGCCAGTGTGGTGTAGTGGTGAAGAGCATGGGACTGGGACTCAGAGGATCTGGGTTCGAGTCCCTGCTCAGCCATGGAGCCAACTGGGTGACTTTGGGCCAGTCACACTCTCAGCCCAACCTACCTCACAGGGTTGTTGTTGTTGTGGGGATAAGATGGAGGAGGAGAATGATGTAAGCTGCCTTGAGCCCTTTGTAGGAAAAAGGCAAGATATAAATCGAAAAAGAAAGGAAGGAAGGAAGGAAGGAAGGAAGGAAGGCAGGCAGGCAGGCAGGCAGGCAGGCAGGCAGGCAGGCAGGCAGGCAGGCAGGCAGGCAGGCAAACTCCAGGCATAAATAGGAGAGGAACTGAAAATTAAAACTCCCAAGCGTGTACTCGGCTTCTGCAAATCCTTGGTGAAACTCGTATACAGTTCTAGTCAGTGCACTAAAAAGGACATTTGAGAGCTGGAAAAAGGGTTAAGGAAGGCAAGTGAAATGATTAAGGGGTTGGAGGAGCTCCCCTGTGACGGACACTTGGGGTTTGGGGTTGTTTAGCTCAGAAAAAATGCCAGTAAGGGAAGACATGATGAAGGTGTAAAAAAAATATGCATGGTGGAGAGAAAGTGGAGAGAAAGACATTTTCTCCCACTTTCATAATCCTGGAACCCAAAGGGATTATCCCGTGAAGCTGATGGGCGAGAGATTCAGGACAGATCCAAGGAAGGACTTTTTTCACACAGCACAGAGTTAAACTGTGGGCTTCACTTCCACAAATGTAGTGGTGGTGAATAGTTCAGGTGGGAATAAAGCCATCCATGGTTACTAGTCCTCATGGATCTATGCTAGTATCAAAAGCAGTTGCTGGGGAACATGGTCGGAAGGTGCTGTTGCCCTTCTAACACCTTTAAATAAGGCAGAGCTACTAGTCCTCATGACTGTTTGTTTCTTTAGAGTTTTTGTATGTCATCCCATCGCTTATAGCCTCGGGACGGCTCACATAAATATAGTATAAAATACCATTAAAATCTGGAAACACCCTGGCTGCACAATTAAAACATATAGATATTAAACGTTATTAAAATATGTTTTAAATAAAAAGGTCTTAGCCCGGCGCTGAAAAACAAATAATGACGGTGCCAGGTGGACCTCTTTAGGGAGCGCATTCCACAGACTACCTGCGAGCTCCAGTGTCAGAGGCAGCTGGGTTCTGCTGATGTTCTTCTGTGCGTTAGGGGAGCTGACTGGCTGTTGGGAGGAAAGGAAACTGGGGGAATGGAGAGTGGACTCCAGCGGCTGGAGCCCAGAATGGAAACACTTCTCACTGCAACTTCCTGTTGCAGGGCTCTACTTTTTATTATATTTCCAGAGCAAATTTAACCCAGAATGACACTTGTGATTCCTTATATATAAGAGCAGAAGAAAAGCCATGCTGGATCAGGCCCTTGGTTCATTCCACACACACGGTGGCAAACCAGCTGCCCACGGGATCCTTCCAGCAGGATGGGAGCAAGACCTCCTTCTGCCCAGCTCCTCAGCAGGGGGTGAGAGCAGGTGAGCCACCTCTGGCGAAGGAGGGAGCACATGGCCAGCAGGGCTAGTAGTCACAGATGGCCCCCTCCTCCATGAACCTGTCCAATCCCCCTTTAAAGTGATCAAATCGGCAGCCGGCACCACTTCCCGTGGCAGCAAATGCCATAGTTTAACCAAACTTTCTGTGATGAAGGACTTTTTATTTATTTATTTATTTATTTATTTATTAAAACATTTTTATGCCGCCCCATTCACCGAAGCCTCGGGGCGGCTTACAACAATAAATAAAAGTAATTATAATATAAATTACAATAAATATAAACATTAAAAATCCAAAAAATTCCTTTTATCTGCTCCAAACCTGCCACCCATCAGCTTCACAGGACGACCCCTTTGGGTTCGAGTGTTACGGGAGAGGGAGAAAAATATCTTCCTGTCTCCTTTCTCCACCACACCAGGCATTTAACTCATCTGCCTTCCAAGCAAACCAGTGCAAACCAGTCACTCCAGCAAAAGGCCTGAACAAGGGAACAATATCGCCAGGACTTCCCAGGTTTTTCTTCAGCTTGTTTGTGTGCTTGGTGGGACACACACAAATCCCACTGAGCCCTCGCAACTGGCACCACACTCCAATCCCTTCCAGAGTGGGAGGAAGGAACCGTCTGTGCACTTGAGCCGAGATACCAGTCCACGGGAGCGATCCTTCCATCCCATCTTTTATCCTTTGCACGCACCTTGCATTTTCCACACCTCGGCTTCTCTGCAGCCGTGTACAGAAAAGGCTGACTCAGGTTCTCTACCCAAACTCGCTTTTTTATTTATTTATTTATTTATTTATTTATTTATTTATTTATTTAAACGTTTTTATGCCGCCCCATTCGCCGAAGCCTCGGGGCAGCTTACAACAATAAATTAGGTCCATATAAATAACATTAGAATACATTAAAATAAAATACATTAGAATAAAATAAGGCTTTTGTGAAGTGTTGATCTGAGCAGTGTACATTCTAATACTGTAGGGGAAAAAGCATTTACTAAAGACACAAATTCCCCCCCCCCCCAAATGAGATCAGGAGAATGCGAAAGCAGGCTGCATGTTTCAGGCAAGCTCATGAACAGAAAACCTAGCTGGAAAATGCACCTTTATTTATTTTTGTTTATTGACTTAATTATTTCTGTTTATAGCCCACTTTTTTCCTCTTGCAGGGAAACCAAGGTCACACAGAGCCCTTCTCCATTACATAAGAGCCCCAATAACCACATTAGCTAGAAATCCTTACCCAGTGAGGTGATGGTATCGCCGTGAGCTCCTTGCATGACCAGTTCAGACTCTAGCCCATGTTTGGCGTCCACTGAATCCTGCCCAGTCTCAGGACACTGAGTGGCGACTTCAATAAACATGCCCTGTACCCAAAAGAGCAGCACGGATCAGAAAGGGAGAGGGGAAAGGAGAGAGAGAAAGAGAGAGAATTTTTAAAAGGAGGAGTTTTATATTGTATTTTTATATTTGTATTGTACTTTTCTATTTTGTAAGCTGCCCTGAGTGCTTGGCAATAGGACGGGATATAATGCCTGTGATGATGATGATGATGAGGATGATGATGATGGAAAAGTTTGGGGTGGGTGCTGAGCCAGGTTCTCCTTTGCTGGTGTCCACACAACAGTGAGGAATGGGTGGGGGTCTTCCCTTAGAAATATTTGCAGCCCACCCAAATTAGTGATGCTCTTACCACCGGTGGCTGCTGCTGTTGCTTGTCCTCTGCCCGACTCCGGAGGAAACGTTCCGCTAGCGCCACAGCCTGAGAGCTGGTCTCCGGCCCACATTCTCTCACCCAGTTCTTCATCCCCACGGGAAGGATGGTCAGGAATTTCTCCAGGACAATCAGGTCCAGAATTTGGAGTTTCGTGTGCTGTTCGGGTTTGAGCCACTGATGGCAGATGTCATGGAGTCGGTTGCAGATACCTCGGGGCCCCTCGGCCTCCTGGTAGCAGAAGGACGTGAAGCAGTCGTGGTGATCTTCTGAGCTGGACGTGGCCTCATTCTGGATCTTCTGCATGGTCCTTTCCCAGAAAGCTTTGCTGCCCCCAGCCTTGACAACATCGGCACCTTTCCCTGCTCCTAGGTCAGCTGTGCCTCGCTCTTCCATCTTTGATCTGGGCTCCTGGAGAACCAGCTGTGCTGGGCTTCTGGGGGTTCAGCCAATGTCTTCCTCAGGATCGCCTGAACAGCAGTGCCGTTTACTTCTGCAACACAAACACACTGTCCCGTGAATGGCCCGTTACATTCTTGGAGTAGGATGCTTTGCTACACACAAATGCACACAAAATGAGCCAGTCTGCACAACACGATGGCTCACCGTGGGTTAATTAACCCATGATTAAACCTGGCATGTGTGGCTATTTTGAATAAGCCAGCTCTGATCGGGGCAATCAGGGATTACATTTTGTTGTGTGAACCCCAGCTACTGTGAGTGAATGGAGAGTTAAACATTTAACCCAACCACTAAGTGTGGGCTATTTAACCCTTGGTCAACCCCCAGTGGCTGGGTTTGCACACCGTGCCACAATCCCTGATGGCAAGTTGCCTGTTTCAATTAACCTACGCTAACATGCCCTGTTGAACAAAGCATAGTTTGATTTTGCATAGCGGCTCCACCGTTTTCCTCTAGGGAAGACAAATGACTTTGGGCCAGTCACAGACTCTCAGCCCAACCCACCTCACAGGGTTGTTGTTGTGGGTATAAGATGGAGGAGGAGAATGATGTAAGCTGCCTTGAGCCCTTTGTAGGAAAAAGGCAGGATATAAATCCAAAAATAAATAAATAAATAAAATGAATGCAAGGCAGCTCGTGTATTGCTAAAAAAAAAAAAAGAGGAACTGCATTACCAAACCAGGCCAGAAAAGACGCCAGTTTGCATAACCTTTGCAACTGCAGAAATGCACATGTAGAAAGAATTACTACAAATTGGATGTGGGCAACTTGTAGCCCTACGGATGTTTTTGCCTACAAGCCCCAAGAGCCGTGCCCAGCATAGCAAAGGTGTGAAATGAGATGTTCTCGCATTTTCATGGCATGTTAACATGTTTTAATCATTGTAATCTATTTTTAACTTCTGTGGGAGCTGCCTCGCATGCCATATTTTGCTGGAACGGTGGGGAAGAAATGAAATCCTAATCTGAACTGCAGGCAAAAATATCAAAAGCACCTCAAGTTATTCTCTCCCGATTTATACAGAAGTGCAATGTTTCTCGCCCTAGAGAGGAAAACAGATCGGGCCTGAATACCTGCTGCTCGGTTGTTTGTTGCTCAGATGCATCTAGGTGCAAAATTTAGAAATAAAAATTATAGAGATGCAGCGTACTAAAGCAGGAAGACCAGGTGAGCTCCGGGTCGTGCTCAGCCGGCTGTCATTATTGGGGGCCACTTCAAGTCCCCCTCCACGCTCCCTTTTTAGGGTTCTTTGACCTTCCATCGGAGGAGCCACGGGCACCAAATCAAGGACCACCCTCTCCCCCCCCCCGCAAAACAGGACTGCAAAGCAGAACATCTGGACACAGCGAAGGGGCAGGAGGGTCTCTCCAGATGTTTGGGACGGGGATTCTCCGCATGGCCAAGCGGCAGGGAGGCTGCGGGCTGAAGCCCAAACATCCGCAGCTCTCGCAGCCCACGCGTGTCCTTGGGGAAAGGAAGACTGGGGGGGGGGGGAGAGACTGGGGGGGGGAGGCAGCTTCCCCCAGGCCCGCCGCCCGCCTTCCTCCAGCACGAAAGCCAAAGCCAGCCAGCCAGCCTCGCTGCCCCCGCTCGGACTGCCCCCCGCCCCCCTCCCTGCCCTGCAGTCCCTCGACAGCCCCCCTTCCTCTGGGGGGAAACCGGCCCGAAACCGATCGCGGCTGCCCCCCGCACCTGGGGGGCTCGGGGCCCCCCCTTCCCGCGCCCGCCCGGGGGGAGGACGGCCAGCGAGCCCGCCACGCACTTGCGGATGCAGCGCGGCGCGCGTCCCCTTCGCCGCGGGGCCAAAGCCCAGCCGCCGCCGCCGCCGCCGCTCCCGGGGCCGCCGCCGCTGCAAGGGGGGAGCCTGACACCCCTCCCCACCCCATGGATCGGGAGGGGGCCGAGCAGGAAGCCGCTTCTCTAGGAATCCGCACTTCCTCTCTTTAACCCCTTCGACAGGCTCGGGCCGGAGAGAGCAGCGCCCGCGTTTCGTAACAAGTGGAAGGGCGCCTGCCCGCCGCAGGAAATGAGCTCTCCACCGGGGGCGGGATTCAGACGTGCGGTAAGCCCGGGTTGGGCAAGGGGCTTCTTTCTTTCCCATTTTGATTCGTATTTCCTTCTCTGTATCGCCCCATAGCCCAAGCTCTCGGGGCGGTTTGCAACCATTCATCCCAGGTATGGTACCAAAAATGCAAATGTGTTAAACTGTAGATACACTCAAAGGCAGTATAAAATTTGCCATGCATAATTTAAGGCAGTTTAAGTATTTAAAATAATTCTGATGAAACCTGCTTGTGTTACAACTGCTGATGCGCCCCCATGGAAGTCCCTTAGGAGAAGAGGGCAGTTTTAACCTGATGCCAAAGAGATGACAGCATTGGCACCAGGTGAGCCTCAGAGGGGAGAGCGTTCCAAAATTGGGGGGCCACCACTGAGGAAGCCCCTGCTGCCTGGGTCTCCCTTGGAGGGGGCAGTCAGAGGAAGGCATCTGATGCAGAATTGTACTGAGTAGAATGAGGTCGAGAGAAGTTCCAAGTTGTGCAGGGCTTTATAGGTTAAAACCAGCACCTTGAATTGGACTTGGAAGCATATAGGTGCAGGTGATCCAGAACTGCATTATATATACGGGCCTTCCGGTTCCAGTTATTAATTTGGCTGCCCCAGTTCGCACAAACCGCAGCTTCTGATCCATCTTGGAAGGCAGTCCTATCAATGCTTGTTTTCCAATACCCAAAATCCTGTGAGGGTGTCACAACAATTCACAAAAACACACAATTGCAATTATAATAAAACGCAGAGTAAACTTTTGGAGATCTGCAACACTAACAACCAAAAACATTCTAAGTACAAACTAGGCTTGCTAAATAGGGCAGATGGAAATGCCCCATTCGGACATTAAATACCCTCAAATGTTTGGGAAAGGGGGGGGTCAACTTGGTGCTGAAATAAATGGCCAGAGTAGGGGGCCACCTCTATGAAGACCCTTTTCCATGCTGCTGCTGTCTGAGATGGCACCGGAGGAAGGCAGCCCTTTGGATTCTTTTTGGCCTACAGTATCTATCATTCCTCAGGGTGGGCTGTGCTGGCCAAGGCAGATGGGTGTTGTAGGTCTAGGGAATACCAGGTTCCTCAGACCTGTTTTAAACCTGATGCTGATCCAAGCAGGGGTCATTAAACTTTTGGTGGTCTACCTTATAGGGATGGTGTGTTGAGTCCATGCCCTTTCTCCATGAGTGCTTTGGCCTGATCCCAAACCCTCCACCACTCTGGAAGGGTCAGGGTGGACTTCAGTGACTGGGTTCAGATAGCATGATAACCTCGCTCAAGGTTGATGCTGAATTGCGGGTTGTTGTCTGAACCCAGCTGCACTAGCAAGCCATGAAGAGAACCCATGGCTTGCTGGACACTTGTGACCTGTGGGTTGTTCACCATGGTTTGTCATCTCAGCTAGGTTCAGACAGCATAACCTACAGTTCAACAACAACCCACACTCAACCCATCCTGAATGAGTGGGCGTTACTGCCTAAAGCCAGTGTCAATTATATTCTGGACTGCAAGTCTGTGTTTCTTGCTTAGCTCCTGAAATGCTTACCAGAGCAGATCCAGAAATAGGCACTGTTGTGTGGATTATGGGTCACAGTGTACTCTGTGTTGGGCTGCCCTTAAAGACTGTTCAGAGGTTGCATCTTGTGTGAAATGTAGCACTCAGAATGGTAACAGGGGCCAGACTGTCTGGCCTGCTAAGTTCACACTCCAGACCTAGGCAGAGTTAATTAGATTATGGCACAGGCTATTCTTTTTTTTTAAGTTTTATTCTTAACAAACCTAACAAAAAAGACACTAAAAAACATCAATCATCAAAAACATCAGACCTACTGGGTCAGCCCCCCACATTTTTTCTTTTTCTGTTAAACTATAAAAATATTTAAATCCATGCATAGTTCCGTTTCTCTAGCCAATAATACAAAGAGTCCCAAGTTTGATAGAAGTCTGTATCTGCTTTCTCCTTCAGAGACAAAGTCAATCTGTCCATTTTGGCACAGTCCAAGATCTTTTTTAGAATCAGTTCATCGGAAGGTGGCTCTTCACTCTTCCAATGTTGGGCGAATGCAATCCTCGCTGCAGCAGTTAACATTCAGAGTCAAATACATGGCTTGTTTACCAACATCATCAGGTATAATGCCTAATAAGAAAACTTCAGGTTTAAATGTTAGAGGTTTTTGTAACATTTCCTCAAGCCATTTGTGTATTTTAATCCAATACTTTTTTGCCTTCTCACAGGTCCACCACATATGATAAAAAATACCAGATTTGTGTTTACATTTCCAACATCCATTTGACATATTTGGAAACATTTAGCTAACCTATTTGGCGACAAATACCACCTATAAAACATTTTATACAGGTTTTCTTTGTATGAGCTATTCTTGTTCTCGTGAATCACAGCATACCTTCGCTTGTTAACCGAAGCATGACCCTGCCCATCAGAGGACCAGTTGCTGGCAGTGCCAATACGAGCTTCTGGTGAGAAGGGATGCCTTGCCAACGAGCGGAGCTGGGCACGCTGACACACCTGTAATCCACATAACTTCAGACCTCTCACCTGTATCAAGGTAGGCTTTGCTGTAAACAACAGAGAGTACATAATATGGGCACTTGACCCAGATCCTTTGTTCAGACTTCACGGACCAGTCTCACTATTGTTCACTGTTGATAATGAGCGCATTGCAAGTTATTCAACAGGTCAAGTCCTCTCCTTGTAAGCCAACCTAGACCTGAACCCACATTCCCCCAGCAACTGGTTTACTGCCTTTGGAGGTTGCATATAGCCCTGAGGACTAGCAGCTTTTCCTTATTTAACAGCATAAGAGGAGTGATGCTGGATCAGGCCAAGGTCATCTAATTCAGTAGTCTGTTCCTAGTGACCCACCAGTTGCCTATGGGAAACGCACAAGCAGGACACAAATGCCCATGTTCCACAGCAACTGACATGCACAGGCACACTGCCTCTGATACGGGAGGTAGCATATACATATATCGGCAGCCATGTATGTGCTCCATGAATATGTCCAATCCCTCTTTAAAGCTCTTCAATTGGCATCATGACATCTTGTGGAAGTGAGTTCCATAGTTTAAAACAATTCTTGTGTGAACAAGTCCTTTCTTTTCTCTGTCCTGAATCTCCCACCTATCAGCATCATGGGATGGTCCTTGGGGTCCTGGTATTATGCAAGTAGACAAACACACCCCTCTTCATACAATCAGTCCAGCATCAGCAAGGTAATTTCAGACCCTGGACCTCACAGTCTTCCATTGCTCAGCCCCCACAAAGAGAGCTGTGCAACAGTTCATCATGGGTTAATTTCCTCTCGAGGAGCTGCGGCCTATGCTAGCTGCTGTTATGAATATGTCACCCACATCCGGGGGGGCGGGGTTCCATGTCACAAGAACATGGCTGGTGGGGATGATGGGCTGTTGGATGGCTTTGGGGTTCTTATGAGCCGCCAATCATCTCCAACTTCTGAAGACGTTAAGAATGAGCACCATCCAAAATGTCCTGCCTTGACTGCCCCGCTCAGTGCTGGAACAGCTCAAAACTAAACAAAGGACTGAAAAGACACTCTTGGAGAGCTTCAAGGCACTGCATTCAAGATTTGATATTCTTTAAAGCATTTATTATTTGATTATTAACATGTATTCATTGCCTATCATAAAATTAAACCAAAAATATAATACAAACAATACACATTGCCAGATAACACCAACATATAAAATAAAAAGATACTATGACCATCCAGAGAGTTAAAAAAATAAAAAAATCACGTGATGTCAACATTAATATCAAGATCAAAAGAAAGGTGAACTTTCCCAAACCATCTTTAAAAAGATTAAGTATGTTAAAATAAACCCAGGAGCTAAAACCTATTGGTCTGGTGATGAAAAAATGTTATATCAGGTGCAAGGCAAGCCTCTCATCATCATCATCATCATCATCATCGGGGTCTTCAAAGTTTCCATACTTTGATATTTTATAAATATATTTTATATATGTATTGCTGCTGGCATTAAAAAGATGGTACGACACTAGGAAAAATGCATCACAAAGGAAGGTGACTATATAGAAAAGTGATGTTATTTGTTTTTGGAATTCTTAATAGTTTTAAAAAATGCGGAAACTTTGTGAAGAGCCCTCGTAATAATAATTGCAGCAAGGCCTTGATGAAAAGGCCCATTTTTCAGATGTACTTCCGCTGGAGACAAAAGCAGAGAAGGGGCCCTTTTAAGGCATGGATAGGTATTTAGTTAGTTAGTTTTTATACCACCCAACAGCGGAAGCTCTCTGTAGGTACCTACATCTTTTCAACACCAGGGAAGTTCCTTCTGTTCAACCAGGCTTATCCCAAAGTCTGTCAAGGTGTCTTCAGGATGTCTCTTACTTTGCCAAGCAGCTAGACGGCCAAATCTGGCTAACTCAGTGCAACATTTTGGGGCAGGAGGGCTGTGGCGAAACATGATTCACTATGCCTTTAATGATGCCAGCTTCCTTCCTGTCCCCTGGAAAGCCCCAAAAGCCCTTCCCCAAAGCCATTCCTACAACCTTGGTCCTTTCTGCTCTGGTTAAGAGGTGATGAGAGAAGGATCCAAGGCCATAGTCCCAGCTAGGAGGCAGGAGCAATTTTCTGAGCCTGAGCTTAAGGCTCAGACTTAAGTCTTAACAAGACTTAAAACAATTTAAGTCTTGTAACTTGCAAGTCCGAGAAAAGCAGGGAATCGGAGATTGCTCTGACCCATGCTTCCAATGAACAATATTGGTTCTCATGGTGGTTCTGTCTTTCCTCTTCTAGTGTTTACTCTTGTATGGCCTATTTAAATTAAAATGAACTTTGCCCAGTTGGTGTCATTTCCACACCTGAAAAAATTGAATTGTGTAGGGTTGTGGTGGTTGTTGTTATTATACATTTCTATACTGCCAGTGTCTCTGGGCTGTTTACAACAATAAACATAGAATCATACATTCAAGTCATCTGTCCAGATTTTAAGCAGACCTGACCCCGCTTAGCTTCTGAGACAGCACTTCAAGCCATAGGTCTGAGTTCTTGTAGAAAATCTTTCCATATTTCAAGTGTGATGTGCCTTTATGGGTTGTCTTTTATTATTTTAAGGCTTCCTCTATAAACAGAGCCCAAATTGGACTCTAGCATACCCCAGAGTAAATCCTTTGGAAAGTTACATTTCCATTCTGTGTGAAGGTCTCTCCATGTGGCCTCTTGGATGGAAACTACAGGAATGAGCAAACAAGAATCAGTTTCCATATGCTCAATGTTTATATCTTTCCCCCTGTGTGAATTCTTTGATGAACAATAAGGGACCGTCTCCAAAGATAGCACTTTCCACACTCCAAACACTTAAATGGTTTTTCCCCAGTGTGGATTCTTCGATGTTCTATGAGGTGTGAGGTCCGATTAAAGCACTTTCCACACTCCAGACACTTAAATGGTTTCTCCCCTGTGTGGATTCGTTCATGTGTCATAAGTTGTGAGTTCTGGGTGAAGCTCTTTCCACACTCTGAGCATTTAAAAGGTTTCTCCCCCGTGTGGATTCTTTGGTGTGACATAAGATGTAAGCTTCGACTAAAGCTCTTCCCACACTCCATGCATTTAAATGGCTTCTTACCAGTAAGAGTTACTCGAGGGGTACGTAAGTGAATTTTATGAGTGAGTCTTTTTTCACACTCCAAGCATGTAAATGCATTCTGCTGAGTGTGAATACACTGATGTAAAGGGAGTGACTCTCTCCAAGGTAAGCTTTTTCCACACTCCGGACTGTTCAATTCTTTCTCTGCTGGATGGATTCTTTGATGGGAGGGGTGATATTTCAAAACGCTAAATGCCTTTCCGCACTCACAGCATTTGAAAGATTTATCCCCTGTGAACGTTCCCCTCTTAAGAGCAAGTGATGAGTTGCAACTAAAGTTATTTCCACACAGAAGACAACGGCACCTCTCCTTTCCTTTGTGTATTTTTTCTTGGACTGGAATTCCACTGCCATCACTCTGAGAAGCAACGGTCTCCTCTGTTCTCTTCTCTTCTTTTTCATTTCTTGTGCTCTGCTCCTCATTACACCTCTCTGCTTCCAGCAGAAGCTCACATATTTCTCCTTCATCTGCCTTTCTGCACCCATCCCTTCCTGGAAAGGAGAAAACAATGGGTAAAAACCCAAAAGAATAAAGGACCCAGGAATGTAAGGACTGACTTCAGTCATCAGTTGTTGTCTTGTGGGAGTGTATACTACCAGGCATGGGTAACGTCAGAATTTTTTTGACCCCTTCGGACTCCTTTCGTGGGTCATTCCGATGGGAGTGGTGAAAGGGTCCTGTAATATTTTGCTTTGTTAATAGTGTCCACAGCAGTGAGGTACCCCCGTGCATCAGCATGAGCTGAATTCCCGAAAAGCAGCAAGAGTGCCCAAGGAATTACAACGATCTTTTCAGCACTTGCAAACTGATTCGAGCAGTCATGAGAAAGAGACACTTTTCTGAAGAGACCTGGCTCCCAAAATTCTCCTCCATGACTTCCATGCGCAGGGCTCTTTTGGTCTGGAACCAGCAGGGCCTGCTCCTTACCCAGTGTGGTGGCCTCTTCATCCAGTTCCTGTATAGTCCACCTCTGCCTGGGATCTGCGGCAGCCTTCTCGGACTCTGTATTAGCAGCATCAGATTCTACAAGCAAATCCTGCAGCAGAAGAAGCAGTGAGAATTATTAACAGAAAGAATCAGAGAGAAAATGGTACAGAAAGAGCAGCAGGGGCGGCTTAGGGCATCCATTTCTTTAATGATTTCCAAAAAATATGGGCAACTGCTCTCCATCTTTCTACCATCCTTGAAAATATTCTTGGCCCTCTGAAACTAGCAGGGCAGAAAGTTCTCACCTGTTCCTTGTCCTCCGCCTGGCCCAGGAGGAAACTTTCGGCCAGAGCCACTGCCTGGGAACTGGTCTCCGGTTCACATTCTCTGACCCAGCTCTCCATCTCCGGTGGCAGGATGCTGAGAAACTGGTCCAAGATCACCAGGTCTAGCATCTTAGCCTTCGTGTGTTGCTCTGGCTTCAGCCACTGGTGGCAGAGGTCGTGAAGGCGGCTGCAAACCTTGCGCGGGCCCTGGGCTTCCTCATAGCCAAAGTGCCGGAAGCTCTGGCGGTGTGCCTCGGGGCTGGGGCTCAGCTCCCCCTGGATCCCCACCGTTTCCCAGAATTCTTTGCAGCTCCCATCTGGAGATAATTCCTGCTCTTCCATCTTTGCTTGGCGTACAAAGGCGGCCTTTAACAAGGCTGCAGAATCGTCTGCCTCTTCTGAAGGCTGAGACTGGCAAAATGCCTGGGGAGACCAAGCTCTGCAAAGCCAAGAAGGTGTTCTGTAAATGAGCTCTCAGGGCCTGGCTGGTGGCAGGATAAAAGCCTAAACTCAGAGCCTAGAAATAAGAGGGGCTGAGGCCTTTGTGGAATGCTGTGTTCCTCCCATCGCACCATCCCAAATAACTTTCCACACCCCCTTCGGCTTCCTTTGCACACCTGCTCACAGGCCCCTTTCTACTTGGTAGCACATCTAATTGATTGCATGTCTCTGGAGAGACACTGTGTTGCTTTTTAATCTTTACGCCATGGGTCCTCAAACCATGGCCCGCCATGCTCATTTGTCTGGCCTGCCTCATTGCTTTTGGACTCGCTCGGAAAAAACGATCTCTGAGCGAGTCCAAAAGCTCTGAGCCGGCACAGGCATTCTTTGAAACTGAGCAGAGAGCCAGTGCACGCGCCTAATTGTAACAGCTCAACTGTGCGTGCGCCGCCACCCCCCTCCGCCCATTGCATGCATATACAGAGCAGGAATACGGAACGGGAAACAGAAGGGAGGAGGGCGGAAGAGAGAGAAAGAGACGAAGACACTAAAAAAGGATTGAAGGTAAGAAAAATATAACTTTTAAAATCCATTTTTAAGTAAGTGAGCCACGTCCCCGGGCTGCGGGCCAAGGCATGGCCCCCTCGCCAAGCCCAGGGGCAGCTGCTCGAAGGTGGCCGTGGCTTTCCCAGAGAAGGTCATGGCGGAGGCATGGGGGCCGCGGCCTTCTATGGGCAAGCTGCCACCATCAAGTGGCTGCCATGCTTCTTCCCCCTGCACTGGGGAGAGGTGGGAGGCACCCCGCTTGGCCAGCTGGGACCCCATCCCTCGCCTCCTCTCGCCTCGGAAAGAAGCCCTTACCTCGGAGCCACCCCGCGCTTGCCTCTCTGGCCTCCCACTTCCTTGGAACTGGGGCAGAGGCAAGGACTTTAATTTCCATCATGCCCTACCAGCATGGCCAATGGAAGTTGTAGTCCAACTCATCTGGACAGTACCAGTTTTGGCAAGGTTGCACTTAAAACACGGTAGTCATTAACTGCATCCAATTACAGCCATTGTGTATTGTGGGAATTGTTCTGGGCTGACTTGCTTCAAATACTAAGAGTGGCATTAACAGTATTTATCCTTAGTGTTTTTGCCTCATCCTTTGTAAATGCCAGTTGCAGTTACCAGCTGCATTATGCAAAATACTGTATTTAGTGCCTTGGCTGTGTTGCAGCTCTGTCCCTTGAATATGGACATGCTCTTCCCCACCTCACCTTGGGCTTCTGCTGCAGGCCGAGGGAGTGGAGCAAACACTTTTTAACTTTAAAATTTTCATTAATTTTTAAATTATTTAAATTATTTTTTTAATGTGCAGTGTGCATAGGAATTCATTCATATTTTTTTCAAACTATAGTCTGGCCCCACAACAGTCTGAGGGACAGTGAACTGGCCCCCTGTTTAAAAAGTCTGAGGACCCCTGCTTTAGATTGTGCCTAAAACCACTCTTAGTGCTGTGTAAACAGCACTGCTGAACCAGGAACAGATCAGATGAGAGGCAATATGGAAGAGAATGGGTTCAACACTCTTTACATGAGCAGAGGCTTATCTTCTAGCTCACTAGTCAGCTTTTGGAATTACCTTGTCTTGGAGTGTCAATAAAGATCTGCGTTGCAAAGCGGCTGACTGGTGTTTTGGGGCCTAAGGGCAAGAATGGAAGGGCAGAGCTCAGTCCCGGGTTCAAATCCTCACTCAGAAATCAGACAGATGTACGGCTGCAAAGTCTGCCGTTTAACCAACTCTAGTCTCAAACTGGGGTGTGGGGCAGTCTAAATGAATTATCCAGCATGACTTGTCGGGAGTATCAAATTAGGAAAGGAAAGCATTTTTGGAAACAGGAACAAATTCCTGAAAACACACAGGTTGGTTATAGCTTGGATCTGCCTTGGGTGAAAAGCACGACAGTGCAATGAAACACGGGTTCTTCATATAAACAAAGCGGGAAAGCAATTCGAGAGGGTAAACTGCATTGCTGGTGCTTGCGGCAATCCCAGGAAAGTCTAGCTCCGGGGTCGGCAACCTTTAACACTCCAAGAGCCACTTGGACAAATATTTTTCCCACACAAAAGAAAACACCGGGAGCCGCAAAACCCTTTTGACATCTAAAATGAAGATAACACTGCATACATCGTTTTTTACCTTAATGCTACGTATATCTTCATTATGATTTAGCTGCAGCTCTTGTTCAGTCACTAAAACTGTTATTTTTAATCTTACATTATAAACTAGTAGGATTCCTTTCCTATATTTTGAATAGGAGAACAGCTTCCTGAAGAGTCAAAGTCAGTGCTAAAGGGCTGCATGCATTAACCAGCAAACCCCATAAGTTCATCAGCAGTAAAACCAAATGAATCTACCTCCCCTCCCCCCCGTACCATTAAACGTTTGGTTTTCATCAGAAACTTTTCTTCGATTTATCCATGGTTGGCCTGGGGGGGAGGGGAGAGCTCAGTAAATGGGGTGTGGGGTGCTCAGATCGGGATATAGGTGTGTTTAGTGACGGATTAGCAGATAAACAGTCAAGTGCTGTGAATTGCAGCTTTTAACCTTCAGATGAAGGAGATCACATTGGGACAAAGAGAATCCTTTCAGCAGCGCTTCTGTAAAATGAGAGCCTGCAGAAGCTTGTTCAGCAGAGGAATGTAGCGATTTACTTAACTAGCTAGCAAATCAGCTGCGTTTTTAGTTGAGCGGCGTGTTTTGAGCGACAGAGCAGAGGGATCCAAGAGCCATGCGTGGCTCTGGAGCCGCAGGTTGCTGACCCCTGGTCTAGAAGGAGTAAATTTGGGAGCAAGAGTCCTGTGGGAAGATGCCTAGACAGGTCACTGTGGCACTCTAGTTTCTCCTAGTCTACATCACAGGGTTGTTGTGAAGATTAAACAGGAGAATTGAGGGCTACACCAAGCTCCTTGGAGGAGAGTTAGGATATAACCAATATGTAAAAAGGTTCGGGGAATATTTCCATGTGGAGTGAAGGAGGGTTTGTCAATCCCCTTCTCTGCCCCTGCAACCCAGAACTCTCCTTACTTTTTTATAATAATAATAATAATAATAATAATAATTATTATTATTATTATTATTATAACATTTCTATGTCACCCCTTGCCGAAACCTCGGGGCGGCTTACAACATGATAAAATACATTGAAATACAATAGCACATAATAAATTACCATTAAATACAAAAATACAAAAAATACATTGATTTACAAATATAAGATTAAAATTATCAGTATAAATTAAGTAAATAAAAATATAGGAGGAGAAAGAGAAGGAAGAAGAAGTTGCCCTGGCCAGATCATATGTTTTAACAATTAAAATGATGTTTAAATAAAAAGGTCTTTACCTGGCGCCGAAAAACCAGTAACAACGGTGCCAGGCGGACCTCTTTGGGGAGTGAATTCCATAGGTTGGGCGCCACCGCAGAGAAAGCCCTCCTCCGAGTACTTACTCTCCTAATTTCTTTCCTTGTTATTCACTTAGATTAGTGTTTCCCAGTCTGGTACAGTCTGGTTTGTTGATAACACCGAACTATTTAGGGCTTTTAAAACCAAAAGGGAAGGTGAAGAGTTCCAAAAGGATCTCTCCAAACTGGGAGAATGGGCATCGAAGTGCAGTTCGGTATAAGCAAGTGCAGAATAACACATTTTGGGGCAAAAAAAACCCCCAACCCCAACTTCAAGCATTAACTGGTGGGATTTGAGCTTGTAGTGACGAACCAAGAAAGGGATCTTGAGGTTGTGATAGACACAATCCAGCTCAGTGTGCATCTGATGCGAAAAGGGCAAACTCCATATTAGGTATAATCTGGGAAGGAAGAGAAAGTCCAAACTATCAAGATTGTGTAAAACTATGGTATGCCCATGCTTAGAAAAGCTTGTAGGGCTGGAAAAAGGTCAGAAAAGGGCAGATAAAATGGTCAACGGGCTGGTGCAGCTGCTCAGTGAGAAACGTTTACATCAGCTTGGGTTCTTTCGCTTGGAAAAAAGGGGGTAAGAGATGTACTGAATTATGCATAATATAGAGAAAGCAGATAAGGAAATTCTGCCCCCATAATCCTAAAACCAGAGGGGATCTTCCCATGAAGCTGAATGGTAGAAGAATCAGAGCAGTAACTGGAAATATTTCTTCACACAGCACAGAGTTCATTTATAATGCCCAAGAATTTGGACGGCTGCAAAACGGAGAATTCTGCAATGGCTACTAGTCCACATGACCCTATGCCACCTCCAGTATCAGAGGTGGTACGCCTATGTGCACCAGTTGCTGAGGAACATGGGTCAGGAGGATGCTTCTGCACTCATGCCCTTCTTGTGGGTTTCCCATGGACAGTTGGTTGGCCACTGTCGGAAAAGAAGGTTGGATTAGATGGACCCTGGACTTCTCTGATCCTTCATGGCTTTTCTAACATGCTTAAACAAGGGATAACTACTAGTCCTCATGATTACCTGCCCCCCGCTAGTGTTAGAGGCAGCAGACTGGTCCTTGGTCTCATCGGCAGGGTTCTTTTACGTTTTCCAGGTGAACTGGACTACAACCCCCAGCATCCGCAGCCACGGGCGACACTGGGAGCGGCAGTCCAACCCGTAGCTCGCAGCTCGGCTGGCTAACCAACCCTTCGGGAGCTGCCCACCCGCTCCTCGCTTTCGCCAGCGTGCGTTTCGCGCTCTTCCCCCCACCGCGGCGACCCTCTAGCGCCACCGCACCCCAATGCACTCGGGGGGAGCTACGGGGCTCACCTGGGGGCGGAATGCAAAGGCCCGTGGCCTCCCCACAGAAAGGGGGCTGCGATCCTCAGCCGCGCGGGCTCCGGGCGCAGCTGCGCGCACCTCGCAGGCGCCCTTCGCTCCCTCCAGCTGCTCCGCCAAGTACAAGCAGCAGGCGGGAGGGGGCGGTGCCCTGGCGCTGCAGGACCCACTCCTGCCCCCCCCACAGCCCAATTTCCTTCCTCTCTAGCCATCCAGCGTCTCTCCCTTTAACCCTTAGGAGACTGGGGAGTAAAATGTCTCTGCCTGCGCAGGGCAAGCGTCCTCCAAACCTTATCGGCGCGTCTGCGGAGCTCCCAGTAGCGCAATTACGAAAAGAACAAACCGTCGACTTGGTGACCTTTCGGTAGGGGGCTTTAACTACAGATCCGATGCACATGGATGCAGAAGTGGGTCTCCCACTGAGTTCAGCAGAGCCTGTTCTTGATTCAGGCCAAGAAACCAAAGGGCATCGCAGACCAAGAGACTAGAAAGACAAGAAAGCCACGAATCCGGGATCGCCACCTTTCCCCGCACACGCCGGCGCGGTCCGAGTGCATCCCATGGTGTATCAGCAAAGGGGAAAGAGAAAAGTTTGGAAATCCTGCTTGTGTAGATCTCTACCCACAAGCACACGGTGTAAGTTTTCTGCAGAGAGCCTCACCAATAAAACTGCAGATGTTAAAGAAACATAGAAACAGAGCGAGTCAGAAGGGACCTCCCGGGCCATCTAGTCTGACCCCTGGCTCCAGCCGGCTCCGCTCATGACATGCCCACAGAAGCTCTGGTCTTCCCATGATTAGCAAAAATGTTTCCAAATATGTCAAATAGATGCTGGAAATGCAAACACAAACCTGGTACTTTTTATCATATGTGGTGGACTTGTGTTAAGGCAAAAAAAAAAAAATGCTGGGTT